TTACACCAAATAATGTTCTTTTTAGCAGCATCATATGACCCCTTTTTAAAAATATATATTTAAAGGCTCAATTGTGAGGTTTATTATTTCAGAATTTATTTTGTTTTTGTGAAAACCTGTATCTCAAGCATCACAACAAAAAAGGAACCTCAAGGTTGATCTAGGTAAATGTGTGCATATGTATAGGCCCCTAATTCACCAAATCTGCCCCTACTCTTCAGGCTAGCAATAAAATGATAATGATGATTAGATTGTGCTGCTTTAATTTTTACTCTTTCTGCTCCCTTTATGAATTTGTGTTGTTGCAAATTACAAAATGTAATGTTGAAATATGAAATGTGACATGAGCTCAAGTTTTGTTCTAAGAGGATTTAATGGACACAAATACAGACATAGTGAATCTCGACTTTGTTCCAGGATATCCCCCTCCCAGTTGCTGTGTGACCGTTTTAGAGAAAATCCCACGGCGCATTCTGCGATTAGTTTCCAGATGTGAGATACAGAGCAACTATGGTGCCTGCCACACTGATGCATTGATGTGAGTGTTTAACATACAAACACAAATGACATATGAATCATGTGCTCCTGTATTTACTGTGTTCACTGCTCTTCAGATTACATATCCGAAACAAACTGTTCTGTGCACATCCCAGACTGTTGAAGAAACTGAAGAAGATTCACGAATCCCAACCTGGCTTAAATGCAAACAAGAAATTAATGAATGTGATTGTGAAATCTGTTTAGAATCCTGATGGCAGAGATATAGTTTCAATATTTGCTGCCTTGGATGTTTTAAAAGTTATTTTTCAGCTAATAGTACCAGACATGATGCAGGTTACTACAACATACAGTATATATTCTTTGTATGCTCTGCTTTTTAATGAAATAAAACCTTTTTTTTTCCAGTTTTGGCTGCATGTTGGTGATTGTTCGTATTACCTTTTGTTTATCTTTCTGTTGTCTATATTCTCTAGTTTGTATATGTAGTGTAGTATAAGTTGTTTTCAGTGGTTTTTAGTAGTAATAATCGGTGAAATGGGTGATAAAGGGAGCCCATTTAGAAGGAGTGTCTGTAACCTCAACAGTCCAGTTTTTAGGTGTTTCAAAAACAAGTTTTTATGATTATGACAAAACATGGCAAAGCAACCAATATCTTGCTTACTTGCTACCAAATGTCTCGTCAAGCAAAGCCACTTTCAAAATTGTATCATGCATGCAGCAAATTGATAGTCAAAAGTCAAACACAGTCAGTCTCTCAACGCAGAATCATTCAGATCTGGACTAGAGTTGCACTGCCACCTAGGGATGTGCTTTGGTGCTGCTGCTTTTACTTCACTATCCAACTAAAGCAGGTCAAACGTTAAGATCAGGAGAAACACATTCAGTCAGGTAACTGTTAGTAGTGTACAATACAAAAAAACCCTGAATATGGAATAGCAAACACACACCAACATTTAAACACATGCACAGACATATTATATAGAATGAGCTTAGCAAACACACACTGGAGTAAATGAGTGTAATGTGTAAATGTGGCTTAAAGGGGTCATATGATGCGATTTCAAGTTTTCCTTTCTCTTTGGAGTGTTACAAGCTGATTGTGCATAGATAAGATCCCTGAAGTTGCAAAGACTAAAGTCTCAAAACCAAAGAGATATTCTTTATCAAAGTTAAGACTCTGCCACGCCCCCCTAAAACGGCTCGTTCTAACACGCCCCCACATATCTACCTCACTATGTGGAAATATTAGCATAATGCCGCCCAAATGTGCACGCAAAGAAAGAAGGAAAGCATCATATGACCCCTTTAAAAATCTTTACACCTGTCAAGGGTGTCTGAGCCACATTATTATGATTCTTTCATTCATATTCAAGGATTTACTGTGGTTTTGACCTCCTTAAGGCTTGTCAGGTTTAAAGAAACACAGAACTCAAGACAAACACCTTTATTGTGCTTTTATAAAAAACCATGGCACTTGTACTTTGGCATATAGTATATGCCGTTTGAAAGTTTGGGATCAGTAAGATTTTTCAAGTCTCTTCTGCTCACCAAGGCTGCATTTATTTTTATTTACAAAATAAAAACAGTAATATTGTGAAATATTATTACAATTTAAACAGACATTTTTTATTTTAATATACTTCAAAATATATTTCTGTGATACAATGCTGCATTTTCAGCATCATTACTCCAGTCTTAAGTGTCACATGATTCTTCAGAAATCATTCTAATGTGCCGATTTATTATCAATGTTAGAAACATTTGTGCTGCTTAATTAAAGCAATAAGCCCCAAGAAGCTGTGGTTTAAAGTGAATTTATAACAGCTGAGGGGCGTTGTTAGCTGTCATAAATTCACTGTAAACCATGGCTTCACGGGGTTATTGCTTTTATAAAACGGTTATTTCATATACATAGTAAGGTTTCACAAAATAAAACAGAGCAAGTAAAGTGTAATGATATTAATAAAAACATTATTCTTCCACCAAACAACAGCTTCGAACGTGGCTCAGCCAATCAGAATCAAGGACCGGAACTATCCGTTTTATACATTTTCTTTGGAACCTGTGATACTTTTTGAGGATTCTCTGATGAATAAAAAGTTGAAAAAAGAACAGAATTTATTCAAAATTGCATTTTTTGTCCTAGCAATACGAGTCTTTACTACTTTTTTTTAATCGATTTAACACATCCTTGCTGAACAAAAGTATTCATTTATTTCAACAAAAAAAAAAGAAAGAAAAAAAAAGTACTGACCCCAACCTTTTGAATTTGAATTGCATATTTTTGGGCTGAAAAATGAATTAAAAAGACAGACGAATTTCAGAATATCTTAGTATTTGGTCCTAAAACTTTCTAGTTAATTCCAAATTTAAATAAAAAAGTAGATATTTAAAGGGGTCATGTGATGTTGCTAAAATCAACATTATTTGGTGTAATGAAATGTGTTTATGAGGTTTAAGGTTCAAAAAACACATTATTTTCCACATACTGTACATTATTGTTTCTCCTCTATGCCCCGCCTTTCTGAAACGCATCGATATTTACAAAGCTCATCAGTCTGAAAAGCGAGGTGTGCTGTGATTGGCCAGCTATTACCACAAACACTAGCTAAGTATTTAAATGTTGAGCAGCGAGCTTATTGGCTACCGATCCAGGAGAGAACCAATAAGCTGTGCCATGTGATGATGATGATGTCATACTGATTTAGATCTATTGGACTGCGCCATCTAGAGTTTCATGCCAGAACTCTGTATTAATACAAACATTGTATAAAATTCTAATTCGAAATGGTATATACAACTCTATAAAATATCCTTTAAAGCAGCACTATGTAACTTTTGGTGCTCTAGCGGTTAATAAACAGAACTGCACACATCCCGCGGAAGAACAATCCAGGCAGCTGGTTCCTGCACACAGTTCAGAATCATGTAGAGTTTTCTACACTCACTAACTAATACACACACAGACACACAACCTCCTTACTTGGCTGAAGTGCCCGGGACGGGCCGCCCTGAGTCCACTCTCACGCACCAGCAGTATCCTGTGCTGCTGTAACACTGAACGGCTCTGTACCTCCCATCTGCACTGCATTCTGGGACAAAACGCTCTTCTGAGCCTTCAGTGAGCACAGACATTCGCTCATGTTCACAGGTCTTTAAAGAGTCTGCAGAGTAAAACACAAAACAAATTCAGTCTTCAAAACACTCAGATGAAGCCTCAATCGTCTCTCCTTCTCACCTGCGGGTCGCCTGACAGAACGGTTTCCATTCGGGTCAGAGTTCAGAAGGATTGTTGCCCAAAATGGAGGCACCGTGACTCCTGGATTTAAAATGATTTTTCATTAATGGCATATATACTGTATATGACTAGTAATATAAAGTAGAAGTATAAAGTAATTGACACTGAATGCTCACCTGCAGTGGTCAGAGCAGAGCGCTGCTCAGGGTCTGGAGTGGAGCGCCACTGAACCCCTCGCTCTAAACCCAGAGGGGAAACATGGCAGATACTGGGACACTTATTTAATTGTGTATGTGTGTGTGTGTTCTTCTCACTTGCTTGTGCTAATTCCTGTTCAGTTTCCTGAGCCATATCTGACATCTGACCTTCAACACAGATTGACATAATTGAGTGATAAAACTATTCAACTGCTTTGAATTTTGTTAAGAAAATGTGAGTGACGCTTGCCCGTGCAAAACTCGCAGTGCTAGGCGGTTCTTAGTGATCTAGAGATGTTTTCACTGTATTTTATTACTCAAAGTCCAGTGGTTTAGAGAATCCTGAATAAGGCCCACGGTTTATATTGTATCACTAATTGATTGTGCTCTCAAACGGGACTCACCAGTGCAGTTGGGCTGCAGGTGTAAGACAGAGCTTCCGCTCATAGGAATCCCATCAGGAGAGGAGCACCAGCAGTAACCCGTCTGATTGTGACACTGCACCTACAGGTCAAAGGTCATAGGAGTTCAATGCATTTGTATTCATTGGAGCATTGAGTCACGGTTGATGGAAACTGTTGTTTTTTTACATTGAAAACAGATTTCAGGTCTGTATTTGCAGTCATCAAATAATGCCATCAAGTATTAATTAAGATATTAATTTGAATATTATACATGTATACTAAAGCAATAAGCCCCAAGAAGCCGTGGTTTACAGTGAATTTATAACAGCCAAGGGGCGTTGTTAGCGGTTATAAATTCACTGTAAACCACAGCTTCACGGGGATTATTGCTTTTATAAAACGGTTATTTCAAATACATAGTAAGGTTTCACAGAATAAAACAGAGCAAATAAAGTGTAATGATATTAATAAAAACAGTATTCTTCCACCAAACAATGTAGTTCCTCAGAAACGGTTGTGGTTCCAACAAAGTGTCTGCCGAGCAACACGCAGAAGTAAACAAAGGTGTGTGTTTGTAGAGTAATTTACAACAGCTTCGAACGTGGCTCAGCCAATCAGAATCAAGGACCGGAACTATCCCGTTTTTTAAAGTACGTATACATACTACTACTCAAAAGTCTTAGGTCAGTATTTTTTCTTTTGAATAAAACACAGTTTTTACAAATTAATTTTTTTCCTTAAAAGAGGAACCGAAAGCGTAAAGCCTGAATGTATTAAATCAAAGAAAAATTTGTCAATTTATTAATTCTATATGTATATAATTATTTTTTAAAATGAATACTTTAATTAATGCATATATATATATATATATATATATGAATAATTTAAGAAATATATGAAAAAATTCTTACAAACAAAAACAGCAAATTAAAGCAAGGATGCTATAAACTGATCAAATGTCACTGTAAAGACATTTATGGTTATTTTGAACTTTTAAATTCATAAAAAAAATCCTAAAATATAAGTATATTTGAAATCACATGTTCCTCGCCAGGTGTTGGACTTCAGCATCACATTACCTCTGTATAAGTTCCATCGGCTTTGCATTCTGGGATAAAGACAGCAGAGGAATCAGAACGAGTGCTGGCCCGCAGAGATTGAGAGCGAGCAAGCTGACATTTAGACCTCAAAGCATCTGCTGACAAACACAAACACTTCAGACTTTAAAAAAAAGCCTCCGTTGACAACAAATGAGAAGTCTTTGTTCCCTGTGATGAACCTCACCTGTGCATGTTGACACTGCAGCCGTCCTCAGCCGTCTGTTGATGCACTGCGCACGCTGGAAAAAGCACAGAGATTCATACATTCGGCCGTTGCTGCCACACACAGCTTGATGGCGCTCTCTAGCACAGTCCAGCACACACGCCTGACGCCACTGCTTTTCCAACACCAGCAACTAGAATTAGAGGACAGGAGGGGGTCAGTTTCTTTACATCTGGCTGAATGTGAAAGGCTAGTCTGTGTAAAAACTCTCAAAAAAAGAGAAACATGGTGTCTGGCTGAAGAACAGCAGGCTACTGTCGAGAAAAAACGCTGGAGGTTCCATGATGGGAAGGTGATGCGAGATGGTTTAGACACGCTAATGAAAGATTTATATTAATGCACTCTCTCAAAGGACAGATTATCCTATTGAAGGCAAGCAAAGAGAGTACATATTGATATATTAAATAGCCCCAAGATTAAATATTCAAAAATATTCTCCTGCAATTGAATTTGGCATCCTTGTGTACTATAATTATAAATGAAAAACTACAATTTTGGTCAGATGGTAGTTTGCTCTCAGTATGAATTGGCCAATATTGTAATAAGAATATATCAGAGCATACATTTTCCAAGTTACAACAGTAAAAATCTTTCTATGCCAGATTCTAAAAAGTATTAAAGAGTTCTATATATTTTCTATTGTACATAAACATGTTCTGATGTCCATCAGAGACATAGTGTGGAAAAAAAAGGCAAACGGTTTAGAATTATATTAGAGGAAGTTCCATTACCCATAAATATCCCAAACATATGTGGCAGTGTTTACTGAATCCTTGAAAAGAATAGAGCAGTGTGTCCTTTAATGAGGCCCGAGAGAGAGAGCTTGCAAAATGACTTGCACATGTTCAGAAGTTTGTGGAAACATCTCCATCTCTGATGAGCGTGTACATGCGTACATTCTACATGCAACACACAATCATTGCTGAGAAACCAAACATTCCTTTCTCAGAAAAATATCCACATTTTCCATAACATGCTGTAAAGGGCAAGTCCCTACATGACCCATCAGATTTAGAATTTAATCAATGTTTCTTCTCATTTTTGTCATTAATCATGCACATTAATATCTATTATTTGCCCTATTTATTAGTTTTTTTCTGTGTATGTCAGGATGCACTGCATGTTTATAAGTTATACAGCTGTTGGAAAGACCAATTTTTAACAAATCTATACATACAGGTGCATCTCAATAAATTAGAATGTCGTGGAAAAGTTCATTTATTTCAGTAATTCAACTCAAATTGTGAAACTTGTGTATTAAATAAATTCAATGCACACAGACTGAAGTAGTTTAAGTCTTTGGTTCTTTTAATTGTGATGATTTTGGCTCACATTTAACAAAAACCCACCAATTTACTATCTCAACCAATTAGAATATGGTGACATGCCAATCAGCTAATCAAATCTGAGCCTTCAAAACGGTCTCTCAGTTTGGTTCACTAGCCTACACAATCATGGGGAAGACTGCTGATCTGACAGTTGTCCAGAAGACAATCATTGACACCCTTCACAAGGAGGGTAAGCCACAAAAATTCATTGCCAAAGAAGCTGGCTGTTCACAGAGTGCTGTATCCAAGCATATTAACAGAAAGTTGAGTGGAAGGAAAAAGTGAGGAAGAAAAAGATGCCCAACCAACCGAGAGAACCTTATGAGGA